TAAATTTTATAAAAGTAAAACGAAAATTATATTATAAAAATATTCCAAAAAATCAAAGAGTATTATTCTATAATTCTCTTTTTTGTCTTGAGATCTATCGATATCAAAAGAATAAAGATAGAAATTCGACCGATTCTAAAATTTACATTCATTGAAAAAAACATTTACATTAAAAACAATTTTCCTATGTTCTTATTATATATGTTTATTATAAAATAACACGTTCTTATATTACATTATCTTTTTCGAAAGAGTGTATAAAGATCTTCAAGACATAGAGGGAAAAGGTTGGAAAGCGCTGGTATATAAACAAAGAAATTGCATTATGTTATGGGGTCGTAAGCGCAATATTCACGGAATTTTCCTCGTTCAACGTTCAACAACTTTTCCACCGGAATAATCGTGTCCGAGTGCTACATAAATTTTCTCCTCGGTTGGAGTTAAGTACGTGAATTATACTCGTTTCTTTCTTTCTTTCGAATAGAACTTCATCCTTCCCGTTTCTTTCTCTTTCCTTCTCTTTTTTCTCCCTTCCCCACCCCATCCCCCTCTCTCCCCCGGATATATTAACCGTGGATCGAAAACAGAATGCTAATTACGGGGACAAGGGATGAAATGGCCTCGATTATCGTTCCCTGATCGGCCATTTCGACGCGAGCATGCCACTTTTAAAACAAAAGCGACCCCTTTTCCTATCGCATTATCGTCCCCGGACTCTTCACTTTCTTTCCTCTAATTGAAACTTCCCTAATTGTCAGCGAGAGTCTGTAGAAGTATCATCCTCTCCATCGTAGTTCTATTCGATCGTGTTTACTCCCCAACCTCCCTCCTCCCCCTCCCTCCCCCGAACAAATCGACCTCTTTCAATCGGCCACCATCTTGCCGGGAAAAAATTTCCAGGGAAGAGAATTCTTCAGAGAGGAGGAAACATAAATACGCAAAGGGGAAGTTGAACGAAAGTTTAAAATTTATATTAAGGGCCGAGTTAAGTGCGAGGGTGTATTTACAGCAGTGGTGAGGATGAAAAGAATAAGGGAATAATTTTATTTTGATGTACTTCACTCGTTGATGGAACAACCAAGAACAAGTTTCTGGTTTTAGCCATGTTCCAACTTCCTCTTGGCCATAAGTTTTCATTTTCTGTGGCCTAGCGTTTTTTTTTTTTTTTTGAAGTTTTACAGGATGGAAATTTATTCGCCAAACTTCTTTGAGGGCGAACGTGGAAACGGGGTTACTTTGCCACGTTGTGAGAATGTGGCTTAATTAACGTTAGCAAGAGATTCGTCGAAGACGTAGAACATTTCTAACAAAATGTTTCTACAAAGTTGAATGAAAATTTGGATGTAAAATTTCGAAGTGTTCGAAGCAAAGAAAAGTTCGTACGAGTTTTAATAACTGATATGAATTAATTAGAAATCGCTCGTCAAAATTTTTGTTTAGAGGAGAAGAAAATATCGAGCGATATTTCAATATTTTCATAAAAATTATATGCAAATTAAATTTTAAATATAATAATAATAATAAAAAAAACATTTCGTTGAAAAATAAAAGTAGGTCGTTATATAAAACTTCTATTCTAAATTCAATAAATATTTTTGAAACACCCTGTATATTGTTCTCGAAAAAATAAGAGACATTTTAAGTGTCTTGTTCGATGACGAGGTTCATAAATTGGCGGGGTGAAAATTCTTTGTCTAAAATAAAGGGAGCAAGGTAACACGTGGTATCTCGAACCGGAAGTTTAACGACAAGAGATACACGATTTTGAAAGCGATCATTTCAAAGGGGGATCCTTATGCGCGGTGATTTCCCGGTTAGAACGTCATCAGTTTAAAACGACTCTATTTACAGTGGAGCATAGTAATATTCACGGTTTATTTGCATAATCGAAAAAAGAAGAGGCGAAGAGGGGAACGTCTTCAAAAGACGTTTTTTAAATAGAAAACGCAATCTCCCATGGTTTCCCTCGAATGCTACGTTAATAACGTGCCATCTTACTGCTGCACAGCATTCTCGAGGTTCAAAAAATACTTGGCGACGTTTTCTCGTAACTGGACTTCGAATCTCCCCTTTGCGATTCAAGAACGCTTGCGGAATATTCTCTTTAATTAAATTGCGTTTCTCGCGGTGTATACAAAATTAGAAATTAAAAAGTTAGGATAGAGAGTTAATGACAACCTTTTTCATACTTTCTTTTTTCTTAATAATGAGAAATTCTTGATGTTAATTTATGTTATTAATATATAATAAAAATTAAAATAAATATTATATTAATTGATATTATTAATTTTTGTCTTTTTCCTAAAAATGGAACAGGAAAATTGATTTAAGACCTTTCATTTTTCCTTTCTGTAACGTTTCATATGTCTTTCTTCTAACGTTTAATATAGAATAATATAAAATATCTTTAAATGTTTAATCAATATCAAGTAATAATTTCAAAATATTTTACAATTTCATCGATGATACGAATTCGAAAAACAACAAGATGAATTTTTTCGTTTTTATCTAATCTTTATTTCGTTTCTCTTTTAATAATCCGTATAATCGCTCTAAATTTCATCAGAAATCGATGAAAACATTCTTCACGCCTGATAACGAATCATTAAAATCCGCAATTTAATTTTTCTATTGAATCGATGAAAACGATATAATATTTTTATCAATAGCTTTGAGCATCGATTATCGGTTATTTAATATCCTCAATTAATTTTGCCTTATCTTCACCGATATATTCGATATACAATCCTTTACTTCCTTTCATTTCTCACTTTGACACGCGAATCTAATTTCCCCAATTAATATTTGTTTAATTATAACGAATATTATAATATAATCCTTTTAATCCTACGCTAATACTATGATTATCTTATACATAATACTATGATTATCTTATACATAATACATGGAAATACTCGAATTCAGATGAAATTCAGTTTTGATTTTTGCTCAATAAAAAGCACTTTTCGATTGGCAGAAAACACGAAAAGTTTACACCACGTGAGAAATTCACTTGGGTGTTTCGTTTCATCCACTGTTATCAATCATCCTCCCTCAACTTACGTGTGTACTTTTTATGGAGCGCGAAGAAAGATGAAAACTAAACATTTACTTTTGCAATAGGGAAAGTTGATCCAACTTTTCGAAACATCGTCTGAATGGGAGATTTAAAGTGATTAACATTCGACGAATATTTTCCTCGCTATGATTCTCATTCGTCAGTTTGAATTTTTAATTTTTAAAGCAATATCAAATGATAGAATGACTATAAATAATATTAATTCTCGAAAAGAAATCACGCCCGATATCTTATTCTATTATTAATATTCGATTATATGAAATAAAAAGTATATTAAATAAAATAAAAAATTATAATTATTTTCTTCATCTCTCCATTCCTTATATTTAATACAGATCGAGATTTTAGATAAAATATAAAGATAATGATTTAACATAAATGACCATAATTATATTGAAATTATATTAAAATCTCAATAATATTTAAAAAAAAAATAAAATAAAAAGAAATAGAAATAGATATATTAAAATAGATCCTATTTTAATGTAGATAAAAATTTAGAAATATTTTTAATTTTAATTGTTTAAATTTTTTCTTTTTTTTGGAAAAGAAAAAATATTATTGATTATTTAGTCCTTTCCACTTTTTTTTTCGACATCTATTTTGTGCATTTTCCTTTTTTTTTAAATTGTAAGCAACAATGCCACGTCACACTAAAAACCGTTTGTCACTGAGTTCGCAAAAAGGTCTGTTCTATTTTTTTTATCTCTGAAAACACGTCGCATACCCCCAAATTATTGGAGCGAGAAGAAAACTAACTGACCGAACGCATATTGAACGGTACCAAACGTCAGCTCCAAAACAGAATTTATGTTCGTATAAAATGACAAATAATTCACGGCTGGTCATATCGTGAAAAATCGTACTCGTATTTAGATCATAATATAGAGTTTAATGCGAGAGACGAATATATATCTGTTTCTAAAAACGAAGCATTGTGATCGAAAATCGTGTTATTTTCATTCGAATCAAAATAGGAAAATATTGTTTCAATACTTTCGACAAAAATAGCAATTTTTCTACATTTTCATGGAGATTCGATGTTCATATTGCGACATCTGTGTATTAAACAACTTCGACCACCACAAACGCGACATCTATTAAAGTAAATTGATCGTAAAATTTTTATACGACATATCGCTAAATTAAAGTAAAAATCTTTTATACATCATTAGAAAACGATATTTTCGCAAGATTAAGATACCTGATTACCCGATAGCCAAATCCTAGAATCTTATTTGTCGATTCTCTATTCTATATATTGCTAGATTCAGTAATAAGAAAAAAATGAATCATCTATTAATCACCTATTATTGTCATTTTCGAAAATCAAATTAATAATTACTCTTCATCAATCATACTCAATAATCTTATAAAATAATGATCTATCACGAGACTAAACAAAAATATTTATAATAATATTATAAAAATATTAATCTTTCGAAATACTCTAAAAACGCAATATCAAATTTAAAAAAGCGTTAGAAACGCGCGCTTTTGGTACTCACCTCAGCCAGTGGGCCGAGCCGGAAACTTTCAAAACGAAACTTGGAAAAATTCGGGAAAAAAAGAACGAACACTTAAAAAAATATATATCACGTTGTTCGTAAACTGTTGTACAATATCGACACGTAAAAAACTGACTTTCAAACAATAATTAACACACGAAACAATCCGTTTTTCACGATCGACAATCGTTAGAGAATAGATGCAACACAACGGCACGAGGCGCGCGAAGCGACTGAGCCTCTTTCGAGCGCTGGAGTCGCTGCAGACTAGCCGACCTCTACCGAATTGAGCGAAGACTATCGTTCGTGCAAGATCGTAAGGATTCAGCGCGTCCACGTTGCAAACCACGCTACTTTACGTGCCCGCGAAATAATTGTGCCACCGATGTTAAGTAGTCAACATGGTTCCACGCGTACATGATGTCTCTGTCAAACGATGCGAATGCTCGGTGTGAAATGAATATTTATTGATGTGAATATCGCTGATTATCACAATCTGACACCGAGTCTGAAATGTTTTGTTGTGTTTATGAATTATAAATCTTATAAATTGTGATGTCTGGTATCAAGGATTAAGGTTTACATAAAAGATTGAAATTTAAGATTTATAGATTGATAGATTATTATAAAGAATAATAAAATAATAAGATTTATGAATTCTAGGATAATAGAAACATGGCAAATGAAGAAATAAAGTTCTAATAAATATGGATGGAGAGATTTATTGAGCTGATAAATCATCAGGTAAGATGTGAAATTGAAAATTTTAGGTTACACAGGATATTGAAATAAAGAAAAATTTTTTCTTAAAAAATTTAAATTCATTTTTAATCTATGATGTAATACGAGTTGTTGAAATTTTCAAGATTTTAGATAGATAGAAAATTAAATTTTAAAATTTTATGAATAGATATTTTACATATAAATACATATGGATATTTTCCAAAGTTCAAGTTTCTGACCAAATTATATATATATTAAATAATCAATATGATAAAAGAATTTAAATATATTTCAATCTATCGATAATTTCATCATTATACTTTTAAGATTTATTAAATTTTAGACGATAAATGAGATTGGAGATTTAAGAATGTATATATATAATATAAAACCTAACCTAAATTTAAATTTCCTTATTTCGTTATTTTATAATTTCATAAATGAATTCGATTCAAAAGTATTGACGTTAAAAATTTGAATTTGCAAATTGCTATTCAAATTTATAAACTATAGACAATAGATAAAATAAAATTAATATTTAAAAAACATTGAGTAGAACATTGAGATAGAAGGAATCTTCAAATATTATATTTTTATAAATAGATTGATCTAACAAAAAATTTATAATAAACTTCTGAAATTAAAAATTCGAATTTTTCTATAAAATTCATGTTAAAATTCATGAGATGATGGATGAGAAATAAAATAGAATAGATGTTTAAGAATGGACAAAGCAATATACATAATCTGTAATAACATGAAATACTAGTTTAATAATGTAAATAAAACTGTACTTCATTAAAATAACAGATACTATTGAATCGAAACACATAGTACAATTAATTTGCGTGAATATCGGGACAATTATTACGATTATTAATTTATAGCAGTAAGAGTAGAAATTAATGCAATAAACAAACAAGTTTGCAGGAGATAACAGTTTCAAATGAAATATATCTGTTTCAACATACGTATCGTGAAACGATAACGATAACTAGCACTCGTTTTTCAATTTACCTGGAATTTATGTATATTTTAAAAATTGCGTTTCATTTTGTATCTCGGCATGAACACGTGTGCTAAATATCGATTATTCTCTCATGAATATTTCCCTCCCCGATTCACAGGAATCATCAGCGTTCACAATTATGGAAAAATACATCAACTGTTATTTATTTATACAGGTATCAAGAGAAAAAGAAATTTTTCATGGAAAATTTCTAGAAACTCCGTGAAGCAATGGCATTGTTTTAAAGATTCTTCGATAATTCAATCGATTTCTAATTATACGATTGGATTTCATTCAACTGTAAATGTCTTCAAGTTTATGGGGTCATGTTGAAAGGAGAACTCGATGGAATTCATTGGCTTTTATTGGAATATGGCAAAGGCCAAAATGAAGATCTTTCAATCGGTTGTAGAAATCTTTAGTTAGTCATATTTAATAGAGTTAGTAAGTGAATACAAATCTTTGGGCTGTATTCTAAAATAACAATAAATATAAATAAAATCATGTTACACGAATATGTTACACAAAATGAAATAGGGAGAAATATTCAAGTTTTCTTTCTTTTTGTTAATTTGAGAAACTGAAATGAATGAATGAAATAGATCATTCTAAATATTAAACAAACAACATTAAAATTTTTCATTGCAAATTTCTAAGAGCTATGAAAGCTAAATCTGTGAAAATGTTTTTGAAAATTATTTTAAAAATTCATCAAAAAAATTTTAATTATTATTTATATTATTTAAATTGTACAAATAGCAACTTTTTTCCTTAATATTTTATTTTTCTTTTGTAAATTAACAAGAATTAATCTTTTTCCTTTCCTCTCTGTCAAACTTTAATGATAAAACTCATCAAACTTTTTTTTTTTCTTAACTTTTATTTTGATCTATCTTTAGTTTCTTTATTAAGAAATTATTAATTGGTGATATTAAGTAAGCAATTCCCTTTCTTTCTCCCTTTTCTTCTCAAAGAAGATCCTTTCGGATGCTTATCGATTTCCTTCGGTGTCTTTGAACATTGAAACTTCGTTATTTTATTGAGACAACGTCGAGGAAACGCGATTATGAGTTTCAAATGAAAGTTTCGACGCCGTCCAAATGCAAGAATCGAGGACAATCTACAGTGTTGTCGACCTACTTGCAACTAAAATTTATTACTCGCATCCGAACCCTATCATCTTCGATCGGTGAAAATAGCTTTTCTTCTTTCTCATGATGCTTATTTCCGCCTGCATGGACGATGTCGGCTATTTTCTATCTTCGCACTTCGTCCCAACGTTTACTCATTTCTTCTCGTTCTTATTCTCATGATTGCAGTATTGACTAAAGTAATTAATTCAATAAATATACTGAGTAGAAAAAGTTGCTATGACATTTTAATTGATTTTGATTAATCCGATAAAAAACTTTTTAGAAAAAAATTTATTCATATCCGAAAATTCACCCTCAAAATTTCTTATAACTATTCCAAAATTCTCTGAAATGGTTTCAAAAAAAACTATTTATACCTTTTACGAAAAGAAATTATATTTTTCACACTCTAGATAGAATATCAAATCGATAGAAAATTAATATTCTCCGCTCTGCGATAAAATTAATGCGAAGTTACGAAAAGAAGTACCGGCAATTATATTTCTCCATTAAATGTTTGAAAAAAAAGAAAAAAAGAATGAAATATATTCCGCATGGTTTGTTATGCAAACGAGCAGAAGCTGTGCAGGGTCGGCTCGAATTGGAATCTCCCTTGCGAATCAGTCTGAAAACACTTGGCCGAACAGAACGAACGAACTGTCAAGCGAAGCACGTATGTTCCCTAATTACACGCACGGGACGCGTGCGTACACCATTTCGAACAAGTCCGAAACCCTCGGTACATCGGTTCGTTACGCACCGGATCGGACTACAATTTACGTAGTCGTTTACCGTGTCCCGGCACGCTTGTACGCGTTAATCGTGACTTATTTCGATTCTTCGATTGTAACCGCGTTAACGCTTGCAAATCTGTTTCCATTTTACTCCTATTCTCTTACCGCGTGTTCGATCCGAAGGGAGAAAGCGAAATCAGAGAGAATTAAATACGAATGTAATTATCAGATTGATGAGAATTTCGTTTTTTATGTGATAAATATAGCAAAGGTTTTTTTTTTAATTCTTGGAGAAATTTAAACGTATAATTTAGATAATAAATTAATAATAAATGAAGAAATAGTGTTGGTTTATTAAAATTCAGATTAATTTCTGAAATGTGGAATAATACTCATAATAGATTAATTGCTATAATAAAATATAGTTTCTTTACGTTTAAATTCTTCAAATTATTATATATTTTCACTTTCCAATTTTACTGGTTCGTGAAATGTATAAAAAAAATCATTATCTCTGGAATACAAAAGTTATTTAAGAATCTAGAGATAACGCAAAATTCTGAAAATTTTAAATTACAATTGAAGGTTTGAATTTTTCTTTTCCAATTAAAAATAATTTAGTGTTATAGATTTAATCAGAAGAAAGTGAAATTGAAGAGAAGAAAGTTGTTACGCGCAGATGTGATTTCCATGTGTATCGTCTGTTGCTCTTTTCACCGTGACCACTTTCTTCTGTTTAATCCAAGTGTCACGCGTTCCAGCACTTTGTCATTTTACGTAACGTTTCATTTTACTTGTCTTTATTCATACAATACAGGAAGAATCTACTCGCGTCACATTAAAATTATTTTTTTTAACGAATCTATTATTATCTCTTGTACAAATTATATTTATAAGATTTGCATATCTGGTTGAACGTGTCAGCATCATGAGAGCAATTGCGTATCACATCACATTAGGAAAATTTACACAATTATCTGATTCCGAATTGATGCTCTAGGCAATGATGTGAATTAATCGTGATTTCATCTGATCAGGCTTGAATAAACTTGCTTGTATTTCTGCTTAACGATACTTGTTCATGATAAATTGGTTGCGCATCTAAACTTTGCACTCATTGATTCTAACTTATTGCAACATTGAACGATTAGATTCTGTTTAGACTCTATCAAAAAATAAACATTTAAGAATTGAAAGATTTATAATATTCGTACTAAGAGGAATTAGAATCTGTATTAATTCTTTTGAAATGTGAAATTTATGTAATTTTGTATGTAGAAGGAATATTAAGTTATGTGCTAATAAATAATATTAAAATAATTAAAGAGATCAATATTGAAATTATATAAATCTAAGAAAAAATATTGTATTGAAAGATATTATTAAGAATATAAAGAAAGAGAATATTAAATAGAAATAATAGTAAAACAAAATTTGATTTTATTTTTACAAGTCTTTCATTTTCTTTTCATTTGAATAAAATATTCTTGTGTATAAATCACATGTATTTTTAAATTCTCATCTTGTATATACGTATCTCTGAGATACATATATTTTCCATTGTTGCTATTCAATTGTATTGTTGATTATGAGGCAGTAAATTATCTTATTAAGTATTCCTACAAAGAGAGATATACGAAATTGCATCAAAGTATTTATTTTAGAATTATTTCTCATTCTTCTGAATAGTTAATAAACTTATTTAATATTAATAAATTTATAAATAAAAATAGTTTCCTTAATTATTCTTATATATTAAAAATCTTATTTATCAAAAAACAAAATGCAATTAAAGCATTTGGCTCGTTTAATATTACTCTGAATGTTACTCTGTGGTTGTTAATTATAATAAAACTCGATATATTATAAATAATTTTTAATAGAGTATTACAAATTATGCATTTTCAATTCAATTTAATTTACTTGCGATTATATATGTTAATTATAAAAATTCACGATACCAATATCGCAACTCGTTACAATTTACCAAGCTATTTGATGTACTTGAACAAGTTAACGCTGCAGGCGTCGACGCGAGCTTCTCGTGACTCGGTCTGATTAGGCTTGCTTATGCTTCATTAAATTTAGCAATGACTGCTCGAAGGCAAATTACGTCTAAATACGGTTTTCAAAGGCTCGAAAATTTCTCTTTCAATGATGTTCATCTATACGTTCGCTGTGTGTTTCGTTTGATCGTGCCAATTATACATTTTCTATGAACTTTATCGCAAAAAGGAGAAAAGAGGAAATAAACTTTGCAATTTTAATTAAAATTAACGACATATAGAGTTTAATTAAATTCTGAAATAATTTATTCAAATGCAAATATGAAATGCGACATTGTCAGAAGATAAATTAATTAATTGAACTTTCTAAATTTTCTTAACGTAATAATTTAATACTAAATTTATTAATGTTTTGTTTTTAACAAATATTAAATTATTCATTCATTATTAAACAGAAATCTAAATTTTCTAAATTTTCTTATTTTATATTAATATTTCGTTTTTATCTAATAATTTTCATTCGTAGTATAAAGATAAAATTGATCAAAAAATTTTATTTTTAATTCCAAAATATATTTAACTTTTTAGAAACTAAATAATTAATTTCAATGGATTATTTAAAAATAAGTTATTTCTATTTTATATAGAAATAGAAATAAAATTTTGATTATTACAAGAAATATAACGACTAGAAAATTATAAATACGATAACAATGTATAAGGATGAACGATTTGGAGTTTGTAAACCATTTATTATGGTTTCGTGGTTGACGTTATACCCAAGCAAAACAACTGAACGATATGACTCATTGTTTTGTAGATATTTGCCTGTTGCCTAATTCCGTCGCAATTTGATTATTAACTCGGGAATCTGTATTTCCTTTCTTTCAATCCGAATGAATAAAACTGTTTGCTCTCGTTTTAAATACCGGAGCTTTTTACGTGTGATATCGTCGACGAATATAAAAATTGAGATAAATTGAGAAAAACATGTTTTCATCAAATATATGTAGAAATGAAAATTTAAAATTAATACAAATTTTATAAAAATTATTTCTCTATTTGATATTTATTATTAATTTTACTATCATATTTAGAAAATATTATTATTCGTTAACGTCCTTGTTATTTCTAGAAAATATAATATTTTATTTTATTGTGAATAGTTTAAATAATTCTTATTTTTATATATCAATACATTTATTTTGTTAAATTCATATAAAAATTATTAATTTTTGATTTCCAAAGTAAAAAGACGCAATTAATTATATCTTTTTCTCTCATAATTAAAAGTATCCTCTTTTTGCCATCAAATAAGATCAAAGTCAGGAAATCGGCAAAGACTAACTGGCTGACATTTTCCTCCTTCGGTCTAATTAGACGGAAAATTTCGGAAAAAGACGCGTGAAATACAGATCCTCGATAAATTTGCGAATATTCATGCCGGGGCAAAATGTTGGCATAGTTGTTAATCAAACACGCTGTAATTGACACCAGTAATTTGCAGCATCTTGAGAAGCATGCGACGCTTCTCATCGCAAACCTATGGCCGCGAGCGACAGTTTAAGTTGTCGCAACTTCGTCGTCGTTAGGGTGGTTGTTACCCCGTATTAAGGTTAAACACATACGAAAATATTAGACCAACAGCTTGAATATTTAACCATTCAATGGAAAAATATCTTTTGCAAATATGTACGTAACAAATCAATAATAATTTGAAAATGATTGAGAAAGTAAGTAATTTTGCGATTTCTTAATAGATATTATTTCAACAATGAAATGTGATTCATTAATTCTTTTCTAATTTTCTAATTTTCCAATATATAATTAT